GGGCGGCCCTACCTGAACCGCTCCTGCCCCGCCGTGTCCCAGAGCTGCAGCTTGATCCTCTTGCCGGGTTCGATCTCCAGCAGGCGGGAGAAGAAGTCCACGCCGACGGTGGGGTCGCAGGCGGGCGAGCGCAGCCCGGGGAAGCGGCCCTGCGTGAAGCGGTGCAGCAGGCACGACTTGCCCACGGTGGAGTCTCCGATCACGATGAGGCGGAACTGGTAGATCCAGATGGTCTCCATGGCTCACGTGCCCTGAGCTCGCGGGCCGCCCCTCCCGCCCTCCGCGGAGCAAGTTTGGCGGCGGGAACTGTCCCTTCAGCACCGCCCGGGCGCCCGCCCGCTGGCTTCCAGCATATTCCTGCGGCAGCGGCAGCCGCCTGGGCCCCGCCCTCTCGGGAGGAGAGGCGGGGCCGGCCAGAGAGGGGCGGGGCCTCTGGTGGGCGGGGCGGGCCTGCGGCTCTCGGGAGGGGCAACAGGCTTGCGGAGTGCGAGCTCCCGCCCCTGACCGCTGTAAATCACCTTATTCTGACGCTCACTGGTTGCCGGTGGGAAAGGAGGCGTGGAGAAGAGATGTGACAGAAGCAACAACCAATGAGAATGAATCAAGGGCTCAACTCTAGGAGTGTCAGCCAATGAAAAGTGAAAGTCATATCCTCCCAGTAGGGTGGGCGGGCTTGTCATATTAGGGCACTGATTTGGGGTAGAAAGGAGCACACGCCGGAGATGGAGGACTCCACCCCAAAGAGAGGTTTGAGTAAGACGTCAGAGGCATAGCTTGTTGAGGTAATGCTACTCAGCAGAAAAGGTGTTTTTCTTTTCTTTCTTTCTTTTTTATCAAGGTCCCTGGCCTCAGGTGGAATGTAACAAGAACACCAAGGTAGTTTAGGTGTCACTTTTGGTTGGTCAATATAGAACAAAAGCTTCATCTATCTTGGACTTCTCCTTTGGCGTTTGTAGGACATCTCAAAGCTTTGTTTGTGGACATGGGCTCCGACGTGTTGCTCAGGCTGGCCTCAAAGCCTTGTGCTCCAGTGATCCTCCCACCTCAGCCTCCTGTGTGGCTAGGACTGCAGGTCCTAGCTAGGACTGCCATCACACCCGGCAGCTCATTTCTCTCACTTCAGGAGATCTTTCAGATTCATGACTTTTTGTTAAAAACCCAGTCACTGTTTTTGGTCTATCCTTCATCGCTTTAGACTGCATCACCCAATAGCCTCTATATTAATTTCTTAATGCGGCCATAGCAAACTATAAAACAAAGGCACAATAGTGGCTGACAATTACAGAAATTTAGTTTTGCTTCTGGAGGCTGTATGTCCCAGATATGTTAACAGAGTTGGTTTCTCCCGAGGGTGGTGGGAGAGGTGTTCATGCTCTGCCTAGCTTCTGGTGTTTTGCTGTCAGTCTTGGCATGGATCACTTTCATCCTCTGTTCCAGGGGTGCCAACCCTATATCTCATTTCACAGACGTTCCTCTGGGCATGTCTCTGTGTCCACATCTCCCCCTCTTTTTTAATGTATTTGGTACAGGGTCTCTCACTACGCAGCTTGGACTCGTAGTGGTCCTCCTGGCACAGCCTCCCCAGCGCCGAGATTTTATGCCCGGACTCTGGCCTGCTCAGAGCGCCCGGGGGCGGGGCCAGCGCTGCATGTGGGGCCAGGGATCGAACCCCGGTCCCCAAATGTCTCCCCTTCTTATGAGGACATCAGTTACCTTGGGTTAGAGCCCACCCAATCAACCTCATTTTATTTTTTATTTTTTTTTAGAAAAGTGTCCACATTTAATGATAAAAGGATTAACTTAATACAGTGAGGGAAGTAGTTATCTGGAAACAAATGTACTGAAAATTAGGTTTTATTTATACATCAGGCCACAGCTTATGAAGTTTAGATCCATCAGCAGTTTGAACTAGGTGTACTAGTTACACCAGTTGTATGGGTCCATTCTGGTCAGTTCACACTAATAAGCAAACACCTGGTGAGGCAGATGGGACACATCTTGAAAGCATAAACTGTCATCTTTACTCAGATGAAATGGTTTTCCTTGGGTTGCTACAGATAGGCATTGACACCTACCAATAAGTTACTTTCCACATGCTGTCTTCCAGGATTTCCTGAGAGAGACTTACAGTTAAATTGTTTTACTTTATGTTTGAGATCTCCGTATGTCTTCGGATTAGACTGAATTTGCCTGTTGGATCTGGAATATACCATTTTTCCCATATATCAGTGTATGAAGCAGTTCTTCCCCATGGCTTAAAATGTCCATTCCAATGGAGTAACTTAGCAGCCTTTACAAACTGGGGTGAATATCTTTTTCCAGCACTAGAACCAAGGTGGCGGACATTCCACATAGGGTCAATGGTAGAGTGCTGTTGATAGAATACAATGAGCAGAGGAGGTGTTGTGATGCTGCCAGCCAATGTTCTGCTGTATAACCCTTCTTCTACATTGAGTTTCATCCATTTTTCTAGCTGGTTGGTTATATTTTGTCGTTTCCATTCTGTCAGGTTTGCAACAAAAACTCCAGGATTAAAGGAACAGGTGCTGGCTTTCATGGAAAGCTTACGAATTCTTTCGTTTTTGTAATCAAGATAGCCAATGCAATTGTACTGGTTCCCTGCTCCACGGATGACAACTTTAGTAGAGGCTGAATCACAGTCTTCTGAAAATGCAGCCGCATGTCCTGGCTTCAGAGGTGTATGGTACAAGGCAAGAACATCACCTTGCACAATTACATCATCATCCATGTATATGGCCTTCTTTGCATTGGGAACCAGAATTGGCAAATAGAACCTTGCAAAAGTTAACGAAGGTGGTCTGCAGTATTGTTAAGCGTAACAATGTAGAAAATCACATTGGAACGAGTGTTGTGCTGAATGCTGTTTATAGCTGCAATGGCCCCTCCGAGCCTGTCTTCAGATGCAGCAATGACCACAGGGATCTCATCTTGTTTCCCATCTACTGCGTGGCTGGGAGCATTTGGAACAAAGTCTACAGGCTCAAGTCCCAGAAACCCTGAATCTGAAGCCTCATTCCTCAGCAAACTGCTCAGGCCAAGGAAGTTACGCTGCAAAACCAGTAAGAAGAGGACAATGGCCAAGACCACGATGACAATGTTTACTTTACGGAATGACATCTTTTTCTTCTGTCTTGTATATTAACTATTAACCCTGCCCGCCTGCCTGCTCGCGCACGAGCTTCTCCGCAGCCCGGCAATACGGTTCTGCAGCCCCCGGCCAGCCCGCGGCCCCGGCGGCAGGAGCGCCTCTGCCAGCAGGCGCCGCGGTCAACCTCATTTTAACTCCATACATTTATAAAGACTGTTTTCAAGTAAGATCACATTTTGAGGGATTAGGAGTTCAGATTGTTGTTGTTGTTGTTTTTAAATTTTATTTTATTTTTATTATTTTGTTTTGTTTTTTTTGTCCAGTGACCTCTGAATTTTTATTTACTCACTATTTCTCAAGGATACTCCATTCTTGTTGCTTCAGTGTCTCAACACTTTGGTGTCATTGGTCTCAGACACTAACTTTCTGGCCATGATTTTGCAGGTGGTGGTTCTCTGGATGGTTTGCACTGAGGTGCTGCTGATGTCCAGGGCATCAGCGAGATTGAAATCCTCCCCATCTTCCAGCAGGCGGCAGTATGGGGCGATCTCAGCCTCCAGCTTGACCTTGAAGTTCAGCAGGGCCTCGTACTCCTGGGCCTGGCGCTGCCCCTCTGTTCGAGGCTGTGGCAGCGCAGACTCCAGGTGCAGCAGGACCCCATTGAGTTGCTCCATCTGCATAGCATAGCGGGCCTCCAGGCCTCTCTTCAGGCCAATCTTCAGATTTTTCATGAACTCCAGTCAATCTCCAAGGACTGGGCTGTGCGCTTCAGCTCTGTGAGCATTGTCTCAGCCACTCCAACCTCAGCAGACTGCGAGATGACTACTGTAGTGCTGTCCTCAGTCTGCTGAGACCAGTACTTGTCCAGCGCTTCTCGGTTGTTCTGAGCCAGCGCGTCGTACTGGGCCCTGATGTCTGCCACAATCTTGCCAAGGTTCTGAGATTTGGGCACGTGCACCTCCACAGTCAACCCAGAGCCGGCAGTCTGGGCTTGAAGGCCTCTGACTTCCTCCTCATGGTTCTTCTCCATGAGTATCAGCTCGTCTTTCAGAGTCTCAATTTCTGTCTCCAGCTGCAGCCGAGTGATATTGGCGTCATCGATGACCTTGTGAAGCCTGTGGATGTCATTCTCCACAGATTGACGCATAGCCAGCTCTGTCTCAGAGTTGACTCTAAAGTCATCAGCAGCAAGACGAACACTGTCAATCTGCAGGACGATGCAGGCATTGTCCACAGCATTCGTGAAGATCTGAGCCTTCAGCTCCTCAATGGTCTTGAAGTAATGGCCCCAGTCTCTGACCAGGGACCCCTTCTCCAGGTGCTCCCACATCTTGCTTTCCAGCATCTGATTTTCTGTCCCCAGGCTCCTCACTCTGTCCAGGTAGAAGGCCAGATGGTCATTCACATCCTGCATGGTCTTCTCAGTCTGAATGCTGCTCATGCTGGCCAGAGCCCCGGCCACTCCTGCGGCCAATCCTGCAGACACCATGTCGCCTTGGAGGATGGTGGAGAGAGACACGGAGACCCGGGAGCCCTAGCCCCTGGCGCCATCATAGATGCTGGCAGTGCTGCTGGTCCGCCCGACCCACTGGCTGGGGGCCCAGACTGAGCCAGGGACCGGTGGTTGGTAGAGAAGGTGGTAGAGCAGGTGGTGACACTCAGGCTGCCCGGGAAGGAAAGCGAGAGACCAGGACTCAAGTCTGCCTTTTAAACTTTAAAGAGAAAAATAAAACAATCTTAAAGCAAGATAATAGGAGGATAACTATGGCTAATACATGGCATATTATTATCTTTAAATTAGTTACTTAGAGTACAAGATATTGGCATTTAAATGCACAAAAAATGTTAGCACAAACTTTTCAATGAACTAAGAGAAATTAGTAGTATGACTATATCATGTATGTGTGTATATATTTTTTTTCATTTACTTTTTTTTTTTTTTTTTTTTTTTTTTTTTTTTTTTTTGCTTTTCCCTTCCTTTTCTTCATTTCCCCATCTCAGTTTCTCTTCCTTTTGAAGTTTCTTCCCATTTCGTAATATCTATTTTACATTTTGGATCTTATTTACTCTTCCAGCTTCTTACACTAGGGAGATAATATGATGCTTACACATACGGGTCTGATTTATTTCACTTAGAATATGATCTCTGGTTGAATCCATTTGAGTTTTTCTTTAAAGCTGAGTAATACCCCATTGTGTAAAAAGACCACATCTTTTTTATCCACTCCTTAATTGCTGGATAACAAATTGTGCTGCTATAAACATGGGTATCACTGTGGCATGGTGTTGCCAGTTCTTCTGGGAAGATACCCAGAAGTAGAACAGCTGAGTTGAAAGGAACCTCCAATCCTAGTTTATTGAAGAATCTTCACTCTGATTTCCACAGTGGTTGCACAAGTCCACACTCTCACCAACAGTGGAGAAGAGTTCCTTTTTTCTCCACAGCTCCTCCAGCATTTGTTATTGGTAGACTTCTTGATGATAGCCATTTGTCCTGAGGTGAGATGGAATCTCAATATTATTTTAATTTGCATCTCTCTGATGATCAATGATTTTGAACATGTTTTCATATATTTGTTTGTTGTTTGTATTTCTTCTTTGGAGAAGTGTGTATTCATTTCAGATGCCCATTTTTGGATTGGATCTTTATATTCAGGAGGTCTGATTTCTTTTAGTTCTTTTGGGTTCTCAATAGTAATCCTTTGTCTGAGGAATAGCTGGCAAACCTTTTTTTCCACATTGTGGGTTGTCTCTTCACTCTGTTGGTAATTTCTCTGCTGTGCAAAAGCTTTTTAATAAGATGAGATCTCAGCTTTCGATTTTTTTTGACAGTTTCTGTGTGATCGGAGTTTTATTCATAAAGTCTTTGCGTACACCAGTGTCTTCAAGAGTTTTTACCTATTCTATCTCTCAGCAGATGTAATGCTTCTGTTTTCATATTTAGATCTTTGAAAGGGGTTAGGAATTAAATGTATCTTTTCTAGGGGGTACATAATTCAACCCATAATGGTCTACTTAATTTCTACACCGCTTCCAACATTACTTTTTTTTGTTGTTTGGTCTAAAGTCTACAAACCTAATTGTGTCATCTGGGAACAATCGTATGACACCTATGACCTATCTAGTAAGGGATTTTTCTTCATGTTATACTTTTTCTTTGCTTATATTTTTCCCCATGTTGTTCACTTCTCCCCTTATATCCCTTTTACTCTTTACTTAGTTACAAAATTTCTATTCAAGGCCCAGAGCAAATATTACCTCCATTTTATACTTTTTCTGAGCCACTGTACACCCTAAGTGAGTTGGCTTCTCTCTCATCTGTGTAACAGTAGTTGGGCAAAGCACCTTCTGTGCTCTAATGCGGTGTCCTCTGTCATCTATGCTATTTCTCGTATTGAACTACAGTTATTGGTTACACTGTCTGTCCTTAGACTGTAAGTTCCTGAAAGCCAGACGGTCTTATTCATTCTTTGTATTTTCCAATCACACACAACTAGCACCTATAAGATGCATTATAAATACTCATTGAGTTGAAACAAATACATTAAACATAATTGTGTGCACACATTTCATGAAGTTTATCAGCTAAAAGTTGATTAACTTTATGGTCAGTGAAATTTGCCTTGGACCAGCCAGATATCTCAATGGACTAAAGCGCCTGCTTAGGCAGAGTGCAGAGGCCAGGGTTTGATCCCAGTGTGCTGTACCATGCCATGCCCTGCCATGCTAGCCCCAACCCCAGGCCATGCTGAGATGGGATTGAGACTGGGCATGGTGGTGTACACCTGTAATCCCAGAGTTTGGGAGGCTGAAAAACAGGAGAATCATTACTAGTCCCCTCTATGCAGTGAAATCCTGTAGACTCTGTATTAAAATAGATTTTTTTTTAAAAATTGCCTTTAAGGCACTCATGAATGACTTAATTTTAAGTATATTTGGATTATACATACTGAATATAAATAATTCAATATTTTATTTTATTTTTTTCTGTATTTTTTAGGGAAGGGTCTACCGGGTGTTCAGGGTCTCATACTAGATTGGACTCAGCGATTCTCCCGTTTACAGCCTCCCAAGTGCTGGGACTACAGGCATGTGCCACCACAACCAGCCTCAATTGCCATCTCAGTACACTCCAGGGGCAGGGCTGGCATGGCAGGCCCGAGGATTGAACCCCCAGCCCCTGTGCCTGCTTGCAGGTGCTTTTATCTGCTGAGCTATTTGGCTGGCCCAATATATA